AGACGCTGCCTCCACAGCACCAACAGCAGTAGCGCCTGATGATTCCTGTACCACCGGGTCGAGAGAGGCGGCAACGGGGTGTTCGCAGCCGCCTTCTGCTACGGGCTCTGTGCCCGCAGTGCACGAAGAAACACAGCTGCTGAACGAACCACCATCGAACAGCCTTTTAACAAACTGCCGGCAACAGGATCAGCAAGAGGCCCCAAAGCAACAGCAGTTTGCATGCCAAGAGCAAGGCCAACAGCAGGAACAAGAATGCGACAAGGATGAATCTGTGCAATGTGCCAAACGACGTCGATTCTCGGTGGAAAGAAATGCTTCAACTTGCTCGTTGCCGTATGGGCAGGCCGCGGTCGCTATTCCCCCCGTTTCTACAACCTGCGCTACAGAAAGTAGTGACAGTAGTGAGTCCCAGCTGTATCGCAATCAAGAGCGTGTGGAACAGGCAACCACGTTGGATGAGCTGCATTTTAGCAGCCACAGAAAACGAAAAAGAGGAGAGTGCAGCACGCGGCAGCTGCTCATGCTGCAGCCGCATGCAACAGCAGCAGATGCGGCTCTTCTAGATGTATTGGGCACGGCTCTGACTGCAGAAGAGACACGCGAATTGCGCATGCAACAGCAAAAAGAAGCGGCGGAAGCAGCAGCGGCTGCTGCTGCAGCAGCAGAGGCGGCAGCAAGGGAAAGAACAGCAGCAGCCGCTGCTGCAGAGGCAGCAGCGGCGCGTGCAGTGGAAGTAGCGGCAGCTGCAGAAGCAGCAAGCCGTGCAAAGGTACAATTGAAAGCTGCGCAGGGTACTGCAGCTGCTAACACTCCTGTCACTACACCTACTTCAACAGGGGAGACCCAACAGAGTACCCTGCTGGGGTGCGGGAGTACAGCAGCCGTTGCTCCACGTCCTGCAGCGGCGTGCACACCACTGTTTGGATCAGCAAAGCCAACTGAGCCTCAGCCGCTGCAGCAGCAACAACAACAACCACAGAGACAACAACAGCTGCAGCAGCAGCCGCCACATTCGCAGCAGCTACACCAACAGGCGCCACAGTCACAGCAGGTACAACAGCAGGCGCCACAGTCGCAGCAGCTACAACAGCAACCGCCACAGTCGCAGCAGCTACAACAGCAACAGCCACAGTCGCAGCAGCTGCAGGCACTGCAGCCGCAGCAGCTTCAGGGGACTCCAACCAGTCTCCCTGCCAGTGGGGATTTGAGTGCGTCGCATGCACGCCCCAAACTTCGCATCCGTAGAGCGAATGGGCCTCTTGCAGGAGCAGCAGTGGGAGCGCCAGCAGGTGGTCCCGGTGCCTCGGCAGCCGCACAAGCATCTTTAGGCATTTCGCAGCAGCAGCAGCAGCAGCAGCAGGTGCAGCAGCAATTTGGTGCACGCAATCCGGTTGCGCAGCAGCAATCCCCCCAGCAGCAGCAAATGGACGTCCAGGGACCAGTGTTCCAATTACCGCGGGCCCAACTGCACCAGCAGCCCATTCAGCAGGCACAGTTGCAGCCGCAGCTGCAGCAGCCAGCCAGTGGCAACCTCGGGCTTGGATTAGCGGAATTTGGCCCGACGAAGCTTACTGAAGTTGCTGATGGAGGTGAGACTTGTTGGACTTCTCGGGCAGTTGGGGTTTTGGGCCGCATTGGACTGCGTAATGGTCAAAGGCTCGTTCGTTGCTGTCACCTGTAGTTGCACTACACATGGTGTAAACGATGACTGGATATTTTTGCGTTTGGCTCTGGGTTCTGCAGGCAGCAATCCTTTTGCGTTTGTCGCAGGGAGAGGCCGAGGACGAGGTGGCCGGAGGGGTGGCGTACGGCGCCGTTGAAAACAGTCGTTGGAGAGCGTGGAGGGAACCATTTGCTACAAGTTTTCATCCATACATGGGGGGATGAAAATTCAGTCATCCCTAGAATGCGGCGACACCCGAGCACTGAAACTCATTGCGGTTGCCTTTTCTTCGCTAAGCGTTGCCTACCGAATTTTATGTTCATTCTTTACGCGACTGCTAGAAAAACCGGCGAAAACTAGGGCAGTCATTAACTTCATGTTGCAGCGCCATACAGGCAGTTATATCGGTCCGGGCCGATGTGCTGCTTTATTTTTTGCTAATTCGCATGTCTCTTTGTGGGGATTCGACGCCTGTGAGGCTAGGCAACAGGGACACAGAGCTTTTGATTGAGGGCCTTGCACAGGGTGAGTTTATGGTGGAGGATACAAAATATGACAGCTAATAGCGCTAGTCAAGACTGTGGAAGCAAGTAAAGTACTTTGTTTCCTTTCACCCTGCATAGCTGGCATATACGAATAGAACCTCAGGCATGTCTAAGGGAATTTGTGAGATGCTTTACCGGTTCCGTTTGCACTGCGTAGCTGGCAGCTAGGAACAGAACGCCCGCGTATTCCTAGGTGGAAATGCGAGCTGGTGCGCAAGATGCTCGATTCCTGTAATAATAGAGCTGCCGACAGCGGATGCATACTACCTCAAGTAACTTCGTGAATACTTGAGGCCGTTTCAGGTCAACGCACGGCAGTGCCAGCCTGGGGAGGAGTCGCATAGCCGACATTACCAAAGGCCTCGGAGGCTTGTTTTGGTGCAGGCTAGCTTGCAAGCCGAGGTACTACAGATGCGGAACAAGGCTTGAAGGTCTATTAAATGCACTGTAGTAGCTAAACGAGGTACGCTGGAAGCTTGGAACGGAGACTTCCTAGGGTCCAGTTGCTTTTGTGCTACCGGCATGGTGAAGACAAGGAGACCCAGCTTTTTTGTTGAAAGGAGAGCCCTTTAGGGTTCAGAAAGGATCCATCTCAATGGGTTGAGCTTGGTTCCCCCAGCTGGCGACTAGTTCATGGGATAACGCTCCATGCGGCCAAATAGCCACTTGGTGCTATGCTGCAGGCTTTCTGTAATGGCATTCGTCCCTGTAATTCGCTTTTTTTAATTTGGAAGCGTGGTGGCTTTTGCGCGTAGTGTCGTTTAATTGGCAAATTTTGTGGTTCCAGTCCGCATGCGGGTAAATTTCTCATCCAGGAGCTATCTTGAGCTCAGGGCATTTTAGACATTATGGGAAATCAAAGCCACGCACAAAGAAAATCGCACGAGTGGTGGCACTATTTTAACGCACCTATGAGGTAAGCAGTACCTGACATGCTGTTTGGAACCAACTGTCCTGCTGCAAGCTGCAGCGCATGGAGGAAATTGGACACTGTCTCTCGCCGGTTCAGTCGCCTGAAAAACAATATACTAAGGTTGACAGTAGCTTTTCCTAGCGTTCCTCGGTGATTGGGGAGCTGGACCACCCTAAACATTCTTGTTACTCGTGTGAAGCTATGCGTGGTGGTATACACCGCCGCAAGGCGCTTTGGGCTCTGTGTGTTCCGCCCAGTGTGGGTTTAGCCGTGAAAGCATGGATTCTCGGCAAAGAAGCTCTCACGCTTTGATGAGTGTCCAAAAGGTGTGCGTTGGGGAATTCAGTGGGCCTTATGCTTCTAAGCACTTCCCTCTTCATGGGCAAATTCAGCTTTGTTGCAAGTGGTGCTGGAAGATATTCAGTGGAGCTACAAAGCCGTTTTCTTAAGTCGACACACTACACGCCTTCACAGATACCGCTATACTCATGCTCTCGTCGGTTGGAAAGTTAACCAGACGGTGGGAAACCACCTAGTGAAGGTTTGGTCTAATCTAGCTAGAACTTCTGAGCGAGCGAATGCTGGCGAATATTGCTGCTCACAGAAAAGGAGCAAACCCAGGGTCCTCTATTTACGTCACCCCATTGAGCCTACCACCCCCGTTTCTGCTGTCCGTTAGTGAGAAGTCCGTAGTAGTTGCCGCGGGAGGTCCCTATCTTCCAACAAACGCCCTCCCACTTCTTCAGCAGTTCGGGCTGTGCCTCATGAATTGGCTTCGACAGTCCTCTGGAGCATTAGTAGAGAGTATACCACCACAGTAGTTCCCGTATAAATCAAAAAGCGGACATCCCAGGCAGTGTGTAAATTTTTTCCTATTTCATCACTACCACGCCCTGCTCTGTATTTACCGTTGTAAGTACAGGTAAGGGGATTCGAATTAAAATGAAACTCTCTGTTTTCATCTTACATTTGCATTTCCGCTAGACCACACAGTCTGCTGTTTACGAGTCGATGGCGAAGAGTTGTCTTCAGCATTCTTCTTTTCCAAAATGTGCAGAGAGACAAAGTCCCCTTTCTGCAGAAAACCATCTCACTGCACGCTTATTGTAGGACTGTCTCAGCCTATCAACCACTTTCTAGCTTGAGGGAAAATCCTTGGTCATTCCTGCAGTTTGAAGCACCCCGCTCTCCGACATGATGTCTCTTCGTCGGGAGGCACAAGCTATAGTGCAAGGAGAGAGGAACTAATTGCTGCAAAAGCGCCAGTGTTTTCAGTACTCGTCAGCACAAGCTGACGAGTACTGAAAAGAGGATCCTATGCCTGAAGAAGGGCGGCCCTCAGTCTGACGTTCCTGTTGTGGTGGAGATCAGCCATATATCGAATACCCGCACTGTTGTATTGTATTTACCTCGACGCAAAGCTCAATAATGCATTGAAAACCTCTGAAATCCACTATATGGCATTAAGCTGTCTCCAACTGGCAAAACGGAGCAAGCCTCACCAATGGTCTACCAGCGCGGACGCAATGTTATGGTGTTGCTGCGCATGAATAGCTTGCGTCGTCTCTCGCACCAACATAGAGTTCAAATTCCAGTTACTTAATAAGCTATTCCGTTACAATAAAAAGTCCGAAGTGTGGCGAAGTATGAAGTGTACAAGAACCTTCGGCTACTGTAACAGCTACTGGAACGTCAGCCCCACTTCGCTTTTCATTTGGCCCTAGGGGAAATTAAGCGAAAACTACAAATTCGCCGAAGAGTTCATTGCTTATATTAGCGTCTTGCCTAGTTTGTGTTCGTGGACTTTAGCTTAGACAAGCATAACAGCACTGCGTACAACGGCTACTCTTGGTCTTCCTTTGCAGAGCCAAGCAAGATGTCCGGGAGGAACCAGGCGAGCCAAAGTGGCAGTTTTTACGAAGATCTTGAGTCTGACTCGCTCCTCAGGCTCTCAGACATCTCCATGTGCGTACTTGTGCCTGCACTTCGTCAAGCGTCTGCCTCCATGTACTTTGTCAAGCCTCTGCCCCCCTGTAATGCTGAATATTCAAAACGAAACTAGCAGTTCCACGCGGGACAACGGATCTTTTGCGTGGATGCTGTATGCATTCCTGTAGAAATGACTGGATGAGGAACCTGGGGGAGGTAGAGCTCTTCGAGGTGGATCTGCAGCACTTGATCCTAAATTATCTCACCATCAACGGCCTGGCAGAAGCTGCGGAAGAATTCGTAAAAGAAGCACGCATTGAGCGTGAGCAGTATGCAGCAGAGTCCTTGTTTTCGCGTGTAACTGCTCGTACTATTTTTTTTTCGAAGAGGCGTCTCTGCCCAGATGGACTATTGCTGTGAGATGCCTTTGTGATCCTTTCGGCAATTGCCGCTGTAGCGGTCGCTCACATATAGGCTATGAACATGACTCAATGTGTGTTTCCTGCACTGAGCTTGCATATTCTGCTGCGGTGGATGGTGTGGCTTCAGCGCAAATGCCACTGCATTGCATTGACTGCAGGGCAAAGATTCGGGAGGCAATTTTAAGTGGACGCACAGACGAGGCCATTCGCCAAATAGGCTTCATTGACCCAAATGTCTGTTATCCCGACCTTCATAGTCCTTTTCTGGGCATATTAGCCTTACGTAGACTTATTGTGCCATCGTGAAGCTGCACCATGAGTATCTGTATGTTCTGATGGAAGGTTTTGCGCAGTTGCTGAGTGCGGATGCGGAGGTGACGTTTCTGCTTCACAAACAGCAGCTTCTGAAGCTCATAGAAACGGCAAGTCGTGTCGGTTTGCAGTCTCTTGAAAATGGCCCAATCAGAGGTTACCGACGAGACTCCGTACCCTACGTGACGTTGCAGTAGCTTGGTATCGTTCCACTGTTTGCGCTACTGCAGGGCGAACTGGGGGACGCGATCGATTTTGCGCAGCGACACCTTGCCCCCTGCGTCAAGGAATGTGTGCGTTCGTGTATGAAGCATTGGCTACTGAGGGGGAATCTGCAAGAGGGCAGAACCACATATCGAGATCGCCTTGTGCTACTCTTTCTTTGCTCTCAAGTTCCATTGTTTTTTTTCTGCGCAGCCACATTTGTTGCCTCACTTGGAGGAAGCCATGGCTCTCTTGGCATTCAGTGACCTGAGCGTAAGAATAGCAAATTTCCACTGAGGGTTTTAGCCAAGTTGTTGCCTGCCGGCATAATACTTGCCACAAGATAGTTAGGTGCTAGAAATATTCCAGAACCAGCTGGCATCGTTTTCTTAAGCAGCCCCGCTTGCTGTTGGTACTTCTTGTGCTTGACTGGTTTGCAGTGTCCGGAAGCGCAGCGGCTTATAGGAGGAATGGAGCAGCGGGAGGAAACTGCTAGGCGCATTGATGAGGCAATTCTAGACTTGTATAGGATTGAACAAGGCAAGGATTTAGTTACTTGACTTTGCGTATTTTATTTGAGTCTTTAAGCAGCAGCAGAGTGGGTGTGGGTGGCGGCTGACGCAGCGAAGACCGCCGAACAGGAAGGTAGAGTTGTTAAGGTTTAGCTTTTACTTGTAGGCGCACTGTTGATTTGCTTGTTTACCCACGTGTCATGCGGATTTGCTGACTCAGAGTCCGCGCTTGAGCTCTTAGCGAAGAACATTCTTTTCAGTCAGGGATGCCTCCAGAATGCTGTGAGCCATTGTGTATGTCAAAGGGCTAGTTCTTCGTGCTTGTCATGGAATTTATGTACGCACATTATAGCTCTTCTGGAAGCCTTTACTAAGCTGTTCGGAGCAGCAGTGCCAGTCGAAGTGGCTGGGCCAAATGCCAGTGGCCGCTTATGAGTGGAGCCTACTTCTTTGCTCTGTGTAGCTCGTGACTCGCTCTTTGTTTCCGAGTTGCCACTGTACGAGTTTCACACTGCTAGTGTTGCAAATATTGATGGGCGGCACACAGACAGAAATACGTGGAGCACCGCCATCTTGTTTTGCATGCAGCAACGCTCCCTGTGTCCAGTTATCCTCGATATAAGAAGAGGCACCCTGGGGAAGATCCTCTCTCCTCCTCCTGGTCGAGGACAGCGACTGGAAGAGACCACGGATTCGAAGGGAATTCATTCCGGGGGGGAAGTAGGGGCGCTGCAGATTGATGTGGACGCCTCGCCGCAACAGGAAACAAGTCAAGGAGAAGGCCGGAGACCAAGCCAAACATCTACTGGGGGCCTACTGGCGGGCACCATTCCTCGCAGGACACAGGACAGAGATCAATCTCGAGACTTCGGCAGGAGGCGGCGCACTGGAATGCCCCCACCTTGAAGCAAACCGCCTCCAGGGCCACGATGCATCAAGCGTTCACGAATTTCCATTAGCAGCGCTCGCGATCTTCCATGAGCAGATTGAAACGGTTAGGGTTCATAGAGTCCGGAGTATCTGCGTGGAAATACTGGCTGTGAAATCGCCTTGTCAATTTTTCACGTCATGTGCGTTTGGTAGAGAGCTGACGGACAGGAACAGGCCTCCGGAGCCGTTTAAAGTGCGGCACCAAAGAAACTGAACAGTACTGGCGGGTATGTTTATGTAGAAGCGTCATCTTCTGCGCAAACAACTGATATTGTTGCGAAGCTATCTATAGTTTGGCAGGATGCGTAGATCTCAGTAAGGAGGAGCAGAGTGGCTCTAGAGCATTGGTCGGGAGTGCGCAGTTGGTACGAAGCACTCGCAAGTTTTTGCGTCTGTCTCACTGTTAGCCCAGATGCACGGTTTATTGCTTCTTGATATTACCCAGGGGAGTTAAACTACTTGCCACTTTAACTGCATGTTTGTAAACACGGGGCAGCGAAGCCACTGCCACTATTGGCACCGAAGAGTCAACTGACACCAATTTCTTCTGCTTGACATCAATTGATATTGTTTTTCTAGATCAATGAATTCATAACTCAAGAGAACGGGATAAATATGCCTCTTCCCATTTTCCTGAACTGGGCGCACATGGGCCCCGCACAGGGGGGTGGACCGCTGGTCCGTTTAGGGGCTGCAAACGCACCAATGGAACACCGCAAATCAGTGACGATGAATATTCTATTACATTGTTCTGTTACATTTCATTAAATTTTTTTAAAGTTACTGTCCTTTGCACTCTTTAATGTGTCAATGGGTTCAGGCAGTACCACTCACCCGAAGTAGCACGTGACCTGTAGCTCCCAACCAGAGTTTTGTGCCCTATCTTTCGAAGATGGAGAGTGCTGTTACTCAAATCGGGTGGGAAGAGTCATCTTACATTTGGGAGATCCGAGATTTCATCGACCTCCGCGAAATGGCCAAGGAGGACTGTCAGTTATTACCGCCTATGCCGAGTCTCCCTGCTAGCATTCGCCGTTCAACAACAGTGAAGATACACCGATGAATATGAAAGAAGAGAGATTCTACACTAAGTGCCTCCTCACATTATGGCTGAGAGCTGTTGTCCAGCTACACGCGGATTGCACTGCATGGATGTGAGTGACACTCACACGCGCACTTTGTCTGTGCGGTCGAATTTGCAGCTTCCTGCTCAGCAAGCCGGTTGGAAAGTCCTGTATTCAAGTGCTTTTCACTCTGGCTATTCCCCAATGGCCAGGAGCAGCACGATTCTCTCGGTTTAATAGATCTCGCCATAATGTTTAAAGGCAAGAGAGGCTCCGTCAGAGCCAAGTGGACTGCCTGTTTCCTTGATGCAAACGGAGAAATGAGTGAGCCAAGGCACTACAGTTTCTGCATTTCAGTAGTTTAACGAGAAACGCGGTTGCTTAGGAATGCAAGCGTAGAGATGTCCCACACTACCTTGCCTCGTCTATGCGTCGAAGAACCAAAGAACTCTGTGCAGTCGTGGGCCATATGAGTTCTTCAATGGAGGCAAAAGCTCTTCGCCTGTTTCTTGAGGCGCCATCTATCTGCCCATTGCGCCGTTTTCACATTACAGTCCCTCGCACTCGTCTGGCCGATCCAGTGAAGAAGTACTCACCTGGGGGAGACGGCAGACGCTTCTCTTACGCACCTTCGCCAGAAACTCTGGACTCTTGGCTTTCCAATGGGTCGCTACGAATCTACTGTCAGGCATTTATTGCCCTAGACTGCAAGTCTGAGAGCATTTCTCAACTGCGTAAGCGACTAGTATTGCAGTATGGCGCTAAACACATCGCTCAGCGTAAACTGAAAGCATCTAGTTTCGTCCATTGCATGTCGTTGCACGCACGCGATTATAACGCTCTCAACAGGTTTGCTGCTGATTTTATGCGGTGCGATTCCGAAGGCCGATGCAGAGCCACGACATCTTCCGGTGCACAGCTTTGCATGCGTTTCCCACAGGCGCAACACCCGAAACACCGCCTGAGCGGCTTAAAGCTGACGTGGTCCAGTACGCTCTTCAACCCGAGTCACACGACGTTCGGGTTTGGTGCTGCAGTTCAGTGACAAGCTGTTGCCGCTTCCTTCTTGCGGCTCGATCCGCTGTGCGTTACTTCAAGATTGTACTGGCTTGTGGTAGCCTTGTCTAGGCACTTCCCAAGATCGCAGAATCACGGCGAACGTCGTGCGTGGACCTCAACAATGTGCTTGAAGGGGACACTTCTTCTGCGGTACCTGGATCTCCCCTTTCAAGAAGTTTGTCTTCCTATTCTGTGGACTGTGGCATTATACTGCAGGTGCTACGCAAGATGCTCAACGGGCCCTTCCGAGAAGCAGAAGCAGCAGATGTTCACTTGACGGACATTTGTCCTCAAGCTGCTCACCAAATGCTTCTTTTTATTCACACAGACACGTGCGACCTTTTCAAGGAACTGAGACGCAGTGCCTCTCTCGCAGAGAAGCAGCAACGTAGGGAAGCCCTCATGGGTCTCATCACGGCCGCAGACAAGTATGATGTGCAGGTGCGGTGGTTTAACAGCTGCTTGCAGAGCTTAAAACGGCCGAAGCCTAGGGAACATATCAGTACCGTGCCCAGAAGATTGGCAGTTGGCAGTTTCATGGTACAGTAGCCGCAGATGTCGTCGGCCCCATTATGACTACAAAGCAGGGATACGCGAGGGACTAACATGACCACCACTGTGAAGGTGATTCCTACGGTGCAAGTTTTAGACGAAATAAGGCCTGTTTTTTTGTAACTGTGCCGGTGCGTATGGAAGGGACTGAAAGAAGAGTGTGAACAACAACTGGCCTCGCTTGTGGACGAAGACTCTGTCTTTGATGTACTGCTGTTTGCGGAGTCAAGAAACTTTACTCGCCTTCTAGACGCAGGTACTCACTGAAGTTCGAGCTTTTTGTCACAACCGTGACCCGGGCTCTTGGTGGCGCCAGTGAAGTCGATCCCTCACTGAGTGCGCAGTATGTGGGTTTCGTTGCTTCAAGTATACAGCCAAAAATATGAATTTGGATTCAAGAACAACACAGGTGTATCACGTAGATGACTACTGGGTGCATTTCTTGCCACACCAAATGGCACTAGCTTTGGAGCTACTCTGCACGCTGCTTGCAGGCCAGAAGCTATTGCAAGGAATGCCAGCTCTTCAGCTGTGGACAACCTGGCGAAGTAGACCCACTGGATATTTTAAGCACTTGGTAGCCTGTGAGACTCGAGAGAGCACAGGAGACAGCTGTAGTAACTGGGCCTACAACGATGAAACCGAAACGTTGTCTCTGTGCCCTTCAGCAGCAATCTCGTAGTTCTGGAATTCCACAAGATGAAAGAGCGATTTCGCTGTTGTTGATCATTTAAGTAATCGACAAAAAAATGGTCATGGCCAGGATTTTGTCATTTGATCCCTTTCAATTGTAATCCTTAGCTCAATGATTTCCAGTTAGCCAACTTGACAGTCCAGAACATGTCCTCACTTATTGATAGACACTTCTTAAAGGGACGAGCATGGGGTCTTCCGGCGTGAAGGCCTTAAACGTATGAGTGTCAATAAGGAAGAGATAGACTGACAAGAGCGCCGCTATGATGACGCAGAGCAGCCAGAACCCTCGGAGACCTGATCACAGCGATAATGTAGTGCACATATGCTACATATATAGAAAGAATTGGAGGCTTTATTGGAGCTACCATAAACGGCGTATATGGGTAGTCCGGTTAGCTGAGAGAGACTGGCGTCAAGGAAGAACAAGCATGCATTCAGGCCAAGAACAGAGCCAAGTTCCTGCCGCTGGACGAGCTTTGTCATTTGGGATGTGCAGCAGATGTACCTGTGAAAATTTCAAGTAGTGAGAAAGCGGGTTACCAAGTGCCGCAAGTAGCTGCTGCGTGATATGCCTTAATGTAATTAATACGGAACACAATAGGCCCGATGGGCTGGCCATTCAAAGCAAAATAAAGCCAGGCGGGCAGCCGCGAGTCACATCAAGCACATGCCGTACAGGAGTGCACCTCCACAGACTGAAAATCGAAGATCGGCGGTTTTTCCATACGATATGTGAGTGTTAAGTTTTTACGGGGAGCAAGAAGCAGAAGAAGGGTCTCAGCGAGCCGAAGGTTGGGGAAGCAGAAAAGACTGATCATAAGAATATCGACGTTCTAGATTCGTCGAAGATGAATAAAGCACTGGAGCTGACCCGCAGAAACCAAGAAGAGCAATTGGGCATGAATACTTGATGCATGCGCGATCTCCTGAAAAGCGTGAAACGCATATTTGAGTGAGGCTGGCTTAAGTGCAACTAACCGAAGCGTGTGGCTAACAAAGGGGCGAGGATGCCTATTCGTGCCTGCCATGTTTGATTTTCTCTACGGGCGTATCCTTGTAATTGGAAGTACCTTCAGCAGCTAAGCGATAACGGCGAACGTGAGTTGATTAGCCCATTCGAATAAAAGTGCATACCATACCGATCATGACAGCCCCAATGACGGTAACGAGGATGTTGCTTTGAGCTGGCTGTCCGAGCAGCTATCGCTCTCCTGGAGCGCTCCGTTGGCATACACCTTACCGTAAGTTCTGAAAAGGTGAATTATATGAATGGCACTTGCTTCCCCTGTTTGTTAGTCAAACTGACGGTACATGTGCACGACAATAGGCGTAAATGCGTAGCGCGCCATCAAGATCCTGAGTGCGTCCGCCGTGACCGTGTGCAGAACAGGAAAATGAGGTGGGAGTGAGCTCACGGGAAAAGCCCAACCACCATAACCACACAGCTTGAGGCACAGCTGTACGCTATAGAACGAAACCGCTGCATCTCCGCTTTCACTGAAAGGACGCCTGTGTGGCGGCACGTGGAGATTGAACTGTCTTTAATGGACACCAAAAGAATTGGAGAGAGCTTACCAAAACCTGGCAGTCCATGCGGAGCATTGAATAGCTCGTTGAATTCATCTGAAAAAGTTTCTCATGATTACAAACTAGAAGGCGTGGGCGTAGAAACCAGAAGCGGCAAGCACTGCTGCGGGATGGCCGACGCACCGAGCCCAAAAGCAACGAAACACCCAACGAGTTGAATCGCAGAGGCCACGATGAGCGTTCCCCTTGGCCCAATAGAGTTTGCGAGCGAGGCGCCTATTGCGCCGCCCGCAACAAGGCCAAAGCAATATGAAAGATTCAGGTACGCTAATTGTGCGGTTCGATCTCGTTCCCCAGTTTCCAAAGCAACGACCATCATCGCTGCTTGCGTTCCGTGGATCATCAGCCCAGGGATCTGGCTGATGAAAAGTGCTGGGAGGCTCGACGAAACAGCCATCTACAGCATGACACTGCATTTTAGATGCACAGCCTAAGCTAGCAGTGACTATCCACTTACCATGATGTACATGAGGCAGCAAGATGACATCGCAAGAACAAAGCTGGAGAAAATTCGGCCCTGCGGTAACAAGCTCTCGCTAGGAAATCGAATGTGAAATCGTACGCGCTTCTTGGTCCTAGCGCATCACCGATCCGCCCAAAAACTGGTGCTCCCGCAAGCTGGCACATCGAAAAAATCCCTAGGGGGAGAGCTCAGAAACAAGTAAGCGAAACATTACATGTGAAGGCTCACCTAATACCCAGCCGTTAGCCTTTACAGCATATCGCAATAGAGCTCCTCATTCTCTTTGTTATCTATTCGCACAGCTCATCCCTTACCTGGACAGGCTGCTGGAGCTCCATAATTATGTAGGGAAGTAGTGCAATCTAAAAAATGAGATTTCCCATTCAGCGGACTGCAACGAGAAGCACTCGGCGGACCTGCATGGTAAATCCTGTTGCGTAAATAGCGAGCAAAGAGTGGCAAATGCCTAAAGGGCTTCGCGCGAAGTCTTTGAATGAAACTATTGTGAATTCGGCTCTCTGCTTGATACTCATGCTCGCGGATCTCAATGAAAAAGACATTTCAGCGAAACTCAGTCTCTGCGCTTATTCTGAAATTCGCCTCGTATACACTGCCTGTCTTCTGGGAAAAAGTTTGAAGAGCCATATATTAGTAATTCATCAGGGTTCAAGTGAAAAACGTCAAAGTTCCACCGGCAGGTGTCGTGTCCACACCTGTCCACATGAGTGGCCAGGTTATCAACTTATGGTGTACCGGCACCCCGAGGACAGAAACCGCTAAGTATCGGAAGAACACAGCTCGCACTTTACAGCTGAGATAATTTCCTCGTATCGCGGGTTTTTTCCAAGTTTCAATGGGTAGTCGAGGACTCCTGGGAATTCACTATCAACGACGTCCATGGACTGGCGCAGTACTTCGGCGGCCACCTCGTCTGGGCAGGAACGCCGTATTTTGGTATCTGCAAGGTCCCACGGATGACAGCTGAAGTTAAGATGTCATGCATTCAACCTGCAATTCGTTTTGTGTTGCCCATCATCTTAGTAGTGGCTGGCGGTGGTCGATCTCGCAGCTTAAGCAAACAAGTATATCACTAATATTGTGTTGGCTCTTACCAAGTGCTTGTCTGAAGTGCCTTTGGCCTGGCATACCGCTCAAAACGCCTAAAACTGGCTTCAACAAGACGAAAGGACTTTTCTGTTTCCTGTGCCTTGCTTCGTATCGCTCTAGGTAATCTATATATGCCTGAAAGCCACGAAATGCCATGCAAATACAAACCTGCCATGGCATGTATCTTCTGTGGAACGATATTACTTCATACTTTTACCAGCCACAAGGATCAGGCTTACCAGAAGAAGGCTTCGTCTGCACTGTGCGCTTTCTGGGTTCTCTCTAGATCCTGCGTTCACATAAAACGGAGGCGCAGCTGTTTTGGTATTGCCCTGCAAAGAAGACCTTTGAGTGCCACCGCACAACTGAGGACCGAGGCAAAATCTTCGTCGCGGTTAATACGCACTCCGGCGGTACACTGAGGCCATTTCCCAGCACTTTCCAAATCACTCACCATAAATTAGTTTGTCAGCTTGTGCGAGACAGCAAGGGTCATTCATCGCTGCTCTGCCAATCATGACCCCGTAAAGGCCGGAGTGCTGCGAGCCATTTGTTACATCGGTATCGGGAATTTGCGGGTCTTTTGCTTCGGCAGTGTCGCTGGCTTTCCATTCTCCCTTCAGCAACTGCTGAGCCAACTCCAGCGATGTCACGCCTCCGTTTAGAGAGAAATGGAGTTCAGGGAAGGCTTCTTGCAGCTCGAACACCCTGCATCAGATATGTAAGGCGTCGACTCAGACTCAGTAGGAGAGACTTAAAGTGTTCATTGCAAAAATGCATGCGACATGCGTTGCCCCGCACCGCCGCTTCGGAGTTTCCATGCAAACGCACCTGTGGTATAGCAGAGGCGGGACAGAACGGTTCTTCTTCGGGTCCACCCCCTGTAATCAACAGCAAAAATAGATCGACACACCGTCACTGATTTGTGCATTTGTCAAAAAACTAAGAAGACAGTGTCGAGCTGGGGGTAGGCAGTACGACATATTTTCCGTGTAATCCAGGAACAGCATACTTGGAGCCATGCCTTTCTCGCATGCACGATGAAATGCTTGCATCCGCCTTGCGAAACAGTCTGAAAATACCGAAAAGCTCAATCTGCATCACTCGTCCCTATAAACTTTCAAACAGATCCATTCAAAGTGCCGCGCAACAGTTTCCGCGTGAATTCATCTTGACTTGCATTCTGCGCAGCGGCATGAAATCTTACCTCTACAAATTGCTTCGTGAACTCGGGGGAGTCTAAGTTGTCAACTCCCAATCGACACTTCACAGTGACGGGAATCTGGACGCGTCTCTTCATTTCGTACACGATGTCTCGCACCTTCTTAGGGGACCTCATAAGGGCTGCTCCGAAGGAGCCTGGGAAAAAAAAACGCTTGCAAGCCAAAACAATCCCAGTCTTCACCATACAAGCAGGCATTGTGGGGGCTCACTTCCGTTCAAGAGGAGGACAGACTACACATAGGGCACCTCACAGAAACGAGAACTTTGGGCATTTGGATCCTAAATTGTGAAGAGAGCGCAAATTTTTACCCTTGTCAACAACACGGCAGCTTGGGCAACCAACATTGAGATTAACTTCGTCGTAGCCAGCCAACTCCGCCCAAGTAGCCGCCTCGGCAACGTTCTGGGGATTTGAGCCGCCTGAAAGGAAAAATCTGCAGACCCTGAATCTTTTCCACGCTGTTGATTCTTCAGGCCGAGCACGGAACCTGATGCGGGAAATGGAAGGAGTGGGTCATGTTACCAAGCTGGCAAACGATCGGATGCTCTACGTCATCGAAGCCTGGACCAGGTAATACGCATCAGAGGAGAGCACCTTGGGGCTACTGTGTCAGATGGAATTCCCATCGGCGCAAACACGCAGCATCCAAGCTAATACACGGCAGCGGCGCTCCAAGCAAAACTAGCAGCCAAACCAAGGTGGTTTTCCAGTTGATGCGTGTTGTGCAGTATTGTGGAGTCGACCACCATCTCCGTGTACAGGGTGCTGCGCCGTGTAATTAACCGCATGAAATTCCTGAGCATATTTGAAAGGGCTTGAAAGCGGCATGCTTAAACTACAGTCGACAAAACCGTTGGACAAGCACAAATGTGGCAAAGAACACAATTCAGAGAAAGACAGGCACGAACCCGGAACACTGCAGCATCTAGTGGGACACGCCTGCACATGTTTTCCATTACAATAATGTAACAGAGTAAAGTGACAGTGATTACTGAACCTCACCTGAAGTGTGTGTTCGATACTGCGATCATGGGCGCCACAGCGAGTAGAGAGCGTGAACAAGCTTCTGTTTCCCCCATTGTATCTATTTCATTGACCAACCATATTACCCTAGTCTTTCAGTTGATCTACAGCGCGAACAAGTTTCATGTTCGGGGGCTTTTGACGAAGTTCAACCACCGCAAGACCGCAACCCTATCGAAAATCGCCGCATCTCACTTGCCACAATAACACCAGTAAATCAATGTCCACACATAAATTGCCGCATTAAAAATCTGTCTAAGTCAAGAGAAGCTTAGCATAAACAGCCTCTGCTGTGGGGTTCCTGCCATATGAATTGTTGGGCATCGTGCCAGGGTGGCCGGCAACGGGCTCTTCAGAGGTCGATGTATGTGACTGAACGGCCAGTTCATGGTATTTAAACAAATTCCGCAATGTTCTTTAAGCGCAAGACAGTTAGAATTTCATTTTAACTCTTCGTTTTGCACATAGAATCGAAGATTCTACATATTTAACTTCCATATGCGCACAACGCAGCATTTGCAACTCATGCCTATTATTGTGATAGGCACAATTGAGCCAGGAACAGGTAAGATTGGAAACAGAAACAAGAAAATCTAGTTGCAGCTGGATTTTCTATGGACTGAACAAAGGTGACTATGCCTGGGCCAACTGCGCGACTGAACCGCCCCCGCTGAAGGGCTACCTTACGAAGTACCCTGCACTTCACGAAACAACCCCACTGAAACTGTGCATGGCCTTAAAAGAGTGCTTTATTGGGATACCCAGTCCCATGACACCCATCCACAGAAGGAATTCAGCCACCAGGGCTTCAATACACAGGGCAAGTGTCCCCGTCCCAGCTTGCAGCGTTTGTCCTACCCCTGCAATAACAATTCACGTTGAATTATGGAAATTCCAGTGGTGTCTAGCTGTCACTGTGTTACGCCAACAAAGTAGCAGCGGTACTGTCACTTTTGTTCACCCCACTATCGCAGTAAACCAACCATCTACGCGCCAATGCGCCATCTTTTCCTTTTCGCAGCGAGTGTTGAAGAGAAATAACTAAATGCCCAAATGGATAGACCTTGGCTAGATACCTAATCCACTTTATCCTCCAAGCTCCAAGATGGGTATGCCCGTGTCCTGCCTCCATGAAGGCAGACAGTGCCGCAGACGTGAATCTTGCAGTAGGAAGCTATCCCACGCAGTAGGCAGAAGAGCAACCGAAATACGCTAACAAAAAATGTTTCTTTAGTGTTTTCTGCCTCTTAGTTGGACGCGCCACCGAAAGCAGCATTGCCCGAAATTCAACAAATACAAAAAAAGGATTGCGTCTTGCGGAAGAACTAACCCTTCGAAAAATTTACCAAACCTAGCCATCCGGCAGAGGAACAGTCTATGAAGGAGAATTCGGACCTGAAGAGCCATGACCATATGCTTCTGGATCACAGCCACAAAAAACCGAGCTGATACACAGCTCCCTTGGGAAGTGCTAGTCACGGGTTGGGGGTCCAAGAGCAGCGCAAAGATCCATAAGAAGCACTCCAGCAAAGTTTCGTGGCAGGAAGGGGGCCCTCGTTTTGCCCCGCAGCTCATCTCGTCCAAGGTCCCCCACTTTCTTTTCTTCGCAATGTCGCCGTTGATGCTGCATGCGACGCAACAGCCGCTGCTGTAATGGGTCGTGGTAACTGATATGAAAGCCTTGTAGGGTGGATAAGAGAAGCTGCAACTTAGGGTGCTGTCGCAGCAAGAGAAGCAGGCAGGTGCGTACTGCGGCAGCAGCACGAGAGTGCCAATCCAGCCTCTCAAATGCCTGCAAAAGAGGACACTGCAGCAATGCAAGCAGCTCGCTGCTACAGCAACAACGCCGCAAACGTTCCTGTACAGACAGCTGAGAAAAACGCTGGGCATGCAGCAGTTGCAAGGCTGAAGGCCAAATGCAATCAGAAGTAGGAAATGCAACTGGTATGTTTCCGTCAAGCCTCAGTTCTCCGAATTGGGGGTTCCTATGACTCGCTGTTGCCCTCGCAAGAGCTTGGATATTCCCAATGTCGTGACAATTGTCTCTGCAACAACTGGCAAATGGAGAAGCCAGCTGCAACCGCAGCTTTGCTTGGCTCTTCAATCCCCCTTGAGGAAGTGGAGTGGTGAACAACTGCTCCTGACATGCGTTGCAGAGGCCCCAGACTCGAAATTCCTCCTCGCTGTACAAGTCAGCGAATGGACCTGCGAGATTGCTGCACAGGGAATTAGTACAAAGCGCCCCCATCAAAGTAGACTGACGAAGGTGCTCCTGAAGAGACTGGCAGTCGATGGAAACGGGTAAGGGATGCTGCTGCTGCTGTTCTTCAGCCAGGGCACGTCTCCAAGCAGTAGAGAGCTCGTCTAGTTGCTGGAGCAGACGCTCTTGAAGGGTGTCCGCTCCATCTGAGACCTCCTTCAAGGGACTTAAAGGCAGCAATTTCTGTTCACTCTCACAGCAGTCTTTGCTGCTTGTGCTGCTGCTGTTGCTGTCAGTCCGGCGGCTGCTGTCGCTGCTGCCTCTTTTGTCAGTGGCACTGCTTGTGTGACTCTGCAGCCCATGCTTGGCTCGCTCCGGTGAGGAAGGTGCCTGCAGATCCTCCAATTGATGAGGTACCTCCAATGGCTTCACATTGGCTGGATGAAACTGTACACGCAGAAGCAAATCCCCCTGCTGAAGCAATGGCTGTTGCTGCCTCCTGCCTCCCAAGCTGCTGCGCCAGCGTAAAGGGGCCCTGTACTCCCAAGCACTGGTGAAGGAAGGCAGTGGGAGCACAGCTTCTCCAACGAAGCAGCACTTGCTGTTGTCCCTGTGCGCTGTGGTGACAGTGCTGCTGTTGCTGCTGTATTTAGTGGCCCACAACTGTGCACAGAGTGCAGCAGAAGCAGCAGCAGCAGTAGCCGCAGACGGCCAGTGAATAGAGAAGGTAAAGGTCTCCTGCCACTGTCCGTCAGCAGAAAGGCTAGACTCCTTCTCCTCCCATTCACCAGGCCCCGTTGCACAGCGAAGTACCACTTGCAACTTGCTGCCAAACTGCAAGCCTTGTTGGGGCTGTACCGGAGCGGAGTCCGGCAGCAGCAGGTTGGCTCGCAAGACGGTAGTTTCAAGCTGGCCCTCGAAGTGCTGGTCAACCTCCACTTCTTTGGCAATAGCAGCTGCTGCAGCTGCAGCGTCCCGTAGGGCCAACTCTCTTTGCTCCCAGCTGGATACCTCTGATGTCCTTTGCCTTTCTTGATTTTGTTCCTTCAGTTGATGGTTTTCGTTAGTCTTCAAGCGACTTAGTAGAGCCTCAAGCAGCAAACTTTCCAAATGATGGTTCAGTGTGGAGCTGCTCTTGCTTTCTTTTCCGTGGTAGGACTCCGCTGGAGGAGCCAGCTTTCGCAGGGCTTGCAGGGCCTGCTCCTGCTGCTGCTGGAGCCTATACATCAGTTCTTCTTGCTGTCGTTGTTGCTGCAGTAGCTGCTGCTGCAACTGCTCTTTCTGGTCCAACAGATGTTGCAGCAACGGATGCTCTTCCGATGGTCTCATGCTGACGCTATCTGGGCCCGTTAAGCTCATCTTTTTCTTGCACTGCTGCTCGGCTTGTTCTTTTAGCTGCCTCTGGAGGCGTTCCTCGAGCTTCCTTTCCATTTGCTGCTCCAGTTCCTCCTTCAGCTGGGCCTTCAGCTGCTGCTCAAGCCTACCCTCAGCCAACGTCTGTTGTTGCAGTTGTTGCTGTACGTGCTGCTGCATTAGTTGCTGAAGGTCATCACGAACCTGCTTCAACTGCGCCTCAAGAGTCTTTTGGGCGCCGCTTTCTTCAGCTGCGATGCGTTGCAGCTCGGCTTCTAGCTGCGCCCAGTGCTGGCCCAATTGCTGCTTCGTTTCCTCCGCAAATGCCTTCATCTGCTCTTCGTACTTTTCCCTTTCCTGCTGCAGCAATTCCATATCTGGCTGTTTCGCGATCACTTGCGTATTGTTGTCTGCAGCACCAACTGTAGCAACCGAAGAGGCATGAGCAGCACTTTCAACAGTTTTTTCTCCTGATTTTTGTCGCTGGCGTTGGAGACTTTCCTGGTAATCCCTCAAAGCAGACTGTAATTCAGCCGCATTCTCCCCCTCCTCTATAAAACGCGCTACTGTGCGCTGCCTTTGCAGCGGCAGGCCTTCGCCAGTGCCCTTGTCGGCAGTGCTGGCCATCTTCCTGGGGGTATTAGCCGCCGACGGGATTCGAGACTCTAGACGCTGTGCCTTAGGCTGCACAGGGGAGTTTTTTTTCGGTACCTTCTCCCGCAGAACTCTGGCGACCTTTTTAGCAGCAGCTGCCTCTGCAAATGCACCTACGGCAGCGGTAGCACCACCAGAGTCGATCTTGTTCTGCTGCTGCTGCATCCAAGAGTTTTGCATTTGCAGTTGGGCCCTCCTACGAGGGAGGTTGCGATTCCTGGGTGGAAATGTTTGCTCCCATTGCTCCTCCTTTTCCTGTTGTAGCTGCGCCTGCCTGTGTCCCAACATGCCGGAGGGTTCCTTAGCTCTCCCTCCCTCGCGTCTCGAAAGGTCCTGCGAACCTTGAGTTGGGACGTGCCCTTGGCTAGCTGCCCACTGGTCTCGGCAACTACGGCTACAAAAGTCGGCGTAACGGCCGTCCCATTGCAGCCACGCATCGGCCCCACACACCTTGCAACGTGGCCGCGCAGCTCTAGGGTCAAACGACTCCCCTGAGATACTATCCTGCAAGAAAGTGAAGAGAGCCTCCATATTCGAGCTGACTCTGCACAAGCATGCTTGTTGGGTAGCGGCGCTATTTGCTGTTGCGTCGGCCGATATGCTTGTGCTCTCAGCCGGGGTTTTCGGGCTTTCTTAGCAAACTTCTTCAATCAACTTCTTCCATCGCACTACTTCCCTTTACAATACTCTCTCAGCGACAGCTCTGTTCCAGCTTGCCGCACGCCGCCCATCGTGGTCCACATTGAATCAACCACTGAACAATTTTCCGCCCTCCCAGCATTTTGCATCGCATGTGCGCACTTCATCTACTCTTGAGCGGATCTCAGTCAGCGACTGCCGGCTGAGTAAAAAGTTTAGGCTTCGGCGAGTGCAGAGTGGCTGCTGGCAATTTGTTACGTCACCTCCCCTGCTGCTGATGCTGTGGTCTCCGCTTGCCCTACAGCTGCGGCTCCTAAAATGATACGGCTGTGCTCACAGTCATACGCGAACATCTTAGCTTGACATTACGTCCATGTGTCGAAACGCAGCGATGCTTGCTGGTGGGCCCTCGAAGCCCTCTTAGCGTGTTCACTCTGTGGTGCGTTGCTTTGTTCCCTGGAATGGAGGACTACGTGTTGCAACGTATGTAGAACAAAAGGAAAAATACTGAGGGAGATGCAGCCTACAAGCTTCTAGTGCATTTACTGCGGCTGCTGCCTATGTCCCCTTGCGCCTTGAGGTTTGGGGACTCTCTCGATGATGGCAGCCTGTCCATTCCTTCGAGTGTAGCATGCACCAGTGATCTCAATCTCACTACGGAGATGCAGCGACGACGCCAATATTTTGAAATGGATTAACCTGCTGCTGTTTTTTCTGTTGCTGTAGCTCCTGTCGCTTCTTGAGCAGCTGCAGCCGCCTGCTCTGCTGGGGGCCCCGACTGAGAGGTGGGGCAGTATCAACGGCTACTTGCGGAATATTATTGCTTTACTGTTCTAACGAATTCTGTACAATATTTTCTGAAAGGTTCATAGTCACTGTGCAACACTTTGGCTACAAAGGTGGTTGCAGCGGGGGGGAAGGTACAATCAGCCCCCGCTGATCAATTGCTCGCGCGCAACAGCACAAGAACCAGCAACACGTCAACAGAACAGCAGAGGAAACATGGTTTTTAGGTGTAAGTGAAATACATTGCTAAGGGAGGTTCGCGACCTGGGGAACCTATAGATGCCCTCAGGCACTGGTCAGTATAAATGTCTCCGCCACAGCAGCGGCAGCAGCAGAAATTGTCTAGTACCCGCAGCAGAGACAACAGAGGCTTCACCAGCTGCAGCGCCAACATTCCTCAAAGGTCTCTCATTTCTCAAGGCCCGAGGCGCAGGGAGGTCGAGTCACGGAATCGCCAATCCTCGTTGTTTCCGTGTTGCTGCAACAGCAGCCTGCGCAGCTGCTCTGCTGCAGCCACAGCAGCAAGCCTGGATGCGCTATGAAGGAAGGAACGACGGCAGGAGCAGTTTAATATACACCGAGGCGCTGACTAACGGCGAACGCGCCCTTCCTTCCCCGTGTTGTTCAGGCACTGCTCTGAATATTGTTTTACGGCGGCAACAGGATCACCAGCATCGGCAAGTCTGCAGCAGTAGAATGCCTCCCTATTTGCATTCTGCTCTCAGCAATGGAGGCTCATCGGATGCACCGGCAGTGGGAGGAGGAGGAGCAGCAGATGCAGCAGATAAGCCATCCGATGCAGCACTGGCTACCCCGGAGACGGACGCCACGGAGTTTGTCCAGTTGAATAGGGACGCATTTTGTAAAGAGGAGGAAGTAACATGCCTGCGAGTCCCGTTGAATCAGCTGCAGGAGCTTTCCAAGGCGCTTAGAAAGTAAGGGTGTTTCTGGTGCTGCTGCTTGATCCAGCCGATGCGCTGTTTCTACTGCAGTGCCGCTTGTGTGCCAGAGCCTTCGCGCTGCTCGTGAACGTCTGCGCATTTTTTCTTCTGGGCACGTTTCATTTTTGTGACAAGATTGCGTTTCTGCAACTGCAGATATCTTTTCAAGCGTAGAAATTTGCGGCCCGTCGTTTCCGACATTGCAGAGAAGGAGCGGCAGGGAGAAGTGCAACAGGAAATGCAAAACGAGCAACAAACTAGCGACGACGGAAATGCAGGCCAACAAGAGCACCCGCAACAGTCCCACAACCCCACCGAGGTAACGAAAGAGAAAGGCAGCGCAAAGGGCTTCAAATGCCTGCTGTTGGACCCATCTATAGGCCCAGGTAGGAGTGTGAGCAGTGCGAAGGATGGTAGAGGAAATGCGACGCCTTTAGCTTTGCGTAATCGCTGCAGCTGTAGCTGGACAGGGGGATGCTTGTATTGCGCTATACCTGCCTGTGTGGCAAGCCGAGTTCGCTGTTTGTGTGTTGCAAGAGCTGGATGGGCTACCGGAGGACTTGCAGAGTCAAGTGAGGGATGCGGGGATTCAAGTTCTGCGCCATCGCGTGTCTGTTGGTTATGAGAACCTCTCTGTCGGTATGTAATGCTTCCCTGCTATTGCTGCAGGGAGCACTGCCCGCTGTTACTGCAGCCACGGTTTTATGAAGATGGTATCAGCTTTCAGTGGGCCTTGCTGGTTCTTTATATGCGGGTGGTTCTTGCTACACTCCTTGGACGGGGTTGTGCTCCTCAGTCTGAGGCTGCGCGCAGCGTTGCATCAATGTGGCAAGCATAGTCTTCTGTTTACAAACCCACGGATCACTCACCTGCTGCTTGAGCATGGCTTGCGTAGTTCGCTGCGAGCTACATTTGTCTGTGTCTGTTGTGTTTGAATTGTCTGCGCAGTTGAATGCCTCACGGCGTTATTGCCAGAGGGCGCTGAAGTGCCTCACAGGTTCGAGTGCGTGGGACATATCGCTCACCTTAACCTTCCTGCCTCTCTTCTGAAGTTCAAATACGCCATCGGTCAAGTCGTCTTGGATGTGCGCTGCTGCCTGTGCTGCAGCTGCTGCAGCCATTCTTTTTCCGCATATGGGTCACCCTTAAAGGCGATTGCTTTTGTGTTGCATTGGCGCTTCTCCCTTGTGCAAAGTTACTTTGCGTTTCCTTCAAGCAGCTGTCAGAGCTGTTGCATTTTCACGAAGATATACGCCGCCACAGAAGCTGGCCTGTGGCGTTACTGGGGGCTCGCTCGTATTGAGTGTACGGCGGCTGTAAAACCCTGATTGTGACTGGTGTGTTGCAACTGCAGAAGCACCCTCAGCTGCGCACTGTGGTTTTGAAGACGGGCATAGGTGAAAAATGGAGAGAGTTACAGTTTGAGCTCATTGCGGGCGAAGCGGCCTACGTCGCCACAGTGGTGGGCACCAATATCGCCGACACTGCCAAGAGCAATACCAGCACCAGCGTACAATGAATACCCGGCCTACAGGTCTTTGCTCACTGTGTTCACGATTTGGCGCATCTTGGTTTTTTAATCTGAGCGGCGCCAAATCCCCTCAGTGGCGCGGGGACATTCTTCGTTATTGCTTTATTTTTGCCGGTGCATTGCCAATTCTCTGCAGAAGGAGAGCGACATGGTTTTTGAAGTTGACTATGCCAAGGCATTCTGGAACTCTAGGTTTGTTGCGACTACATATGCTTTTCGTACAGTTGTATGCCAGTGCTGTATGAGCAGCGCTGTAGCTGTTCTGGCTGTTGCTCACGTTTTTGTATAAGTGGCGATTTGCTTTCATATATGGCGAATCTGGGGGATGATGCGGCATCGAGTCTGTATTGTCTGGCATGTGCAGGCTTTCATGCGAACGGCAACGCATTACTGCTGTGGTCCCCAAGGACTCAGTTGTATGTACGTACAGCTGCATCCACGGCTTTACGCAGGGCGCTTTAAGTAGCAAAAAGAGACCAAGGAGTCAAAACAGCAGAAACAAGCATAAAGAGTTGCAGGAGTCAGAGCAGCAGAAGCAGCTGCAGCTGCAGAATATAGATAGACGCATGTTGGCGCATGCGATATGCCGATAGCTCATGACAGTTATGTGAGGGCTGTAAGCCCTCTTCCTCGCGCCCTTCCGAACTTGGAGTTCCGTTTGCGTCCACTGCATCAATGTATGTGTCTTCCTTTTAATGCGTTTATGCTGTAGTGGATGCCTTTGCCGGTGTCGGGGCATTCGCTGTCTACCTCGCGCGGAGCGGCTGCATTGTTGCTGCGAATGACGGCAACCCCGCATCTGCAATGAACATGCGGACAAATGTAAAAAGGAACGGAGTGAGCAGGAAAATTTGTTGGCATGCTTCCGCTGCTGCTGCGCCCTCTGCAATTTTGCTGCTCAAAGGGCAAAAGAAGCGTGATTAGTTGACAGATTGTGTATATCTACACGCGTTAAGATGATCTTGAAGATCTTGACGTTTTACCTATTTTTAATGATTTCTCTTGATGCTGCTGCAGGTAGCTGATTTGGTGGAGGTGCACAACCAAGACGCTCGGGACTTTCTTCGCACTCAGGGGCAGCCAGAGGCGATTGCTGCGCTTGTAGACAAACGCATACATAACCGCAGGGGCCATTCTGGACTATCTGCTGCAGGAGCTGCAGAAACGTCGGGCAGTCATCGTCAAGCCGTGGAGGTGCATGTAATAATGAATCTTCCAGAGCTAGCTGTTGAATTTTTGGGTGGGTCTCTCAGTTGTGACTATCACCTTACGTCATGCAAGACGAAAGTGTGGGCACATGAAGCGTTGCCTCTGTTGGGCGTTTTTCAGCGGATATCTATAAGCGGAAAGTGAGCGTATCCTGACAGCGTGTCATCCCAGCGTGAGTTGTGATTCAGATGTATTTCCGGGGCTATTTAATCGAGCAGAGCCCCAAGCAAAAAGACGCCGCCCAACGGAAGGACCCAGCAGCTCCCCCGGAGCTGCGCAGACAGACCAGATATCCAAGTGGCGCGTTCACTGTTACGCCTTCTCCAGGGACCCAAAGCCCGAGCAAGACCTCAAAGTAAGATCTTGAGAGTGTGGAATATGTTGAGGGGCGCACGGAAGCATTCCATCCCATGCTTGTGCACTTATATGTTGTCCCATGTAGCATCATTATCTCTCGGAGCATGCCTGCACAGGTTCTCAGTTATTGTCCTCGCTTTCGCTAACAGTGGGTCACTGTGTCTTTTAGAATGCTGCGCCGCAGCCACGAGTGGAAGCCGCCCTTGGCTATTGGCCGGAGTCTGTAGAGATACACGAAGTACGTCACCGCCCTCCTGTGCTGCATAGAGTTTTTCTTTAGCGTTCTTGGTTTTCGACTGAGTTCGCATTGATTTCGCATCCTGCAGTAGCGTTTGCGCGTTACTGTCCTTTGCACTGATATTCTTTGTTTGGTGTTTGTACTGTTCAGGTGAGGGATGTAGCTCCTCATAAGCGCATGTACTGTCTCACCTTTGACATCCCTCTTCTCGTTCTTCTTGGCGAACATGAAGGCAGCGAGGGGCAAGAAGATCAGCATACAACTAAATAACATGCAGGAATTTTCGTAGCCTTGCTACAGCTTTGAGACGCCGGGATACAGCAAGATTTGGCGTGCGCGCTATTCACAGAAACTGTTGCCGCGTCTTTTTATTCCCTGCTATGTCGATCCAGCTGAGCTACTGCCGCTACACTCCATAGTTATGCAGCCGCGCTCGTGTTGCAGCTACAAGCACGTTTGCTCAATGGGAAAAATACTCGAGCAATCGTCCGTCGTCTAATTTGTTTTCTTTACGCGCATTGGCGTCAATTTCAAAGTATTGGCTTAATGTCAAGTTCACCGTCGCAGCGGCTAATGCAAAGCTGCGGCACACAAGTAATACTGCATCTGCACCGATAGGCGTGGACAGCTTCGGTACTGCGCTAGACTATACGCGTAAGAAAACTTATGAGAAGGCAAACAAGCCTCCTGCAGGATGGAGTCAACGGGAAAATCGCCGACTTTCGTTACATGGGCGCAAACAACACCGCATGTATGCAAGGTATAAAAGAGAGCGCCGTCCACAAAATTAACTGAGTACAGCTGGACACCAAAGAGCGTCTGTACAACGTGTGCAGCACGCGCACAGGAACACCAATGCCAGCGCCCACCAATGCCAGCGCCCTACATGTTGCTGCAAATAGGAAAGACAGCTATCCTCCACGGACGCAAGGCAACAAACTGCACGAGCACCCGACAAGTGCTGGGTTCTCAAGTGCCAGTGGTAGCATCGTCCGCAGCAAGAGCATGAGCAGTATACTCCTCCTGCACCAGTCCCTCTCCTGCCTCTTGCAGGTTCGCTGCGATGTGATGTGGCCACGAAGGACCCGTTGTTGCTAACAGCACAGTCACGGGCTGCCTGCTGCGTTGCATTTCTTGCAAGCATCGCGGTACGCCCGCTGCCGCTGAGCACTTGCGTAAATTTATGGGGTCAGAACACCCTCTATCTGCCTCAGTAATCAGGTCGCCCAAATGCACGGCACGACAGTCTCAATTATACTCTGCGCTGCGTTGTGGAGAGGCTGACAATCCGCGCACGCCTTGAGGACCGCGAGGCCATCCGCCCGGAGCAGAGCGTTGCAGCAGCGAATCATAGCAGAGACATGGGCCGGCCTGTTGCCATTAAACGTGCTATCTATCTCCTTAAAGAGCTGCTGTAGCTCAAGCAGCAGCGTCTGCTGCTCCTCAAGGCGCTCCGGATCAGCCACAAGCTTCTGTTTTTTCCTCTGACGCCGAGGACGCTGGGCCGGATTCCCTGCGCCGTCTGTTGTGGTTCCACGCGCTGCTGCTGTTGGAGCTATTTCTTCGCCTTCCGTACATTTCTTCCTTGCCAAAGCAGCAGTGTCTGTTGCTGCTTCCACCTCCGATTCACTGCTGCTGCTGCAGAAAGCCCTGCTGGCATCCGTTATCTCGTGCAGTCTCTCGAAGAGGCGGGAACAACGGGCCTCTAGTTGCAGCTGCTGCTGCTGAAGCTCCGTAGGCAACTTTCCAGCAGCCCGTGCTTCTTCTACAGCCATAGCTCTCTCTGTTACACAAGATACACACGGACAAATTCGCAACTCAGTGACTGTGCGTCTGCGCTGATGCTGCCCTAGCGAACGAAGTCAAGCCCAGCTGCTACAAAGTTATCCACCGTAGTATATGGCGGCTTACCAACATCTTCTTTTGTGGGGAACAACCGGACTCCTTCTTCGTCGCCCAAGTCATCCTCTACAGTGTCTAGGCAGGCAGCAGTGGGGTGCGAATGGTTACTGCAACAGCTGCTGCAGCTGCTCCTCCTGCGACTCCCTGCAATACCTAAGGGCGATAACCTCAAATGGTCTTGGGTGAAGAATTGCTCCTCCTGTGCTCGACAGTCAAACGCTTTTGACTGTGCAGCGACCGCCATTTGGTGCCTGGGATGGTGCTCGTGGCGCTGCTGCTGCTCGGGCATCCAGCCCAACTGGTCTTGTAGTGAGTGCACGTACACATGACATGCTGCCACAGCAACAAGGCAAACCACCGCGAGACAAGCGCCTACGGCTAAGAAGACAAAGATGTATCGCTGCTCCTCCCGTTGCTGGCGCTCGTGCTTCTCCAGCTTCTCCTCCAACTTTTCTTCCAACAATGCCACATATGCCTGGAGATCTCTCAGAGTTTTGGCCTGAAAATCGATTTGGGGTTGGACGTAGCTAACGCTGTTGCTGCTCTGCGCATCTACATTGCACGTGCTCGGTTTAGCCGAAGCAACTTCGGGAACTTCGGGAAAGCCAAACGTTTGGATCGCAGCATCACTGGAAAAACCAAACAGTGAGAAAACAAGATAGTGCACAAATTTCATCTTTGGGCTTGTGGTATGAGTAGTGCCACGCAGTTACGTTCGTCGGCACCCGCGATCCGCTGGTGGTGCCGCTACAGCGACTGCAGCACACAGGCATATGCAGCCTCAGTAATATTTGATATGTTTTAAATCAAAAACGGATGGCTACAAGGTGCAAATGCCTCTCAGTAAATCCACCAGCTGTCGTTAATCGCCTTGAGCGCATGCGGCGACCACATAGCAACTCGAGTTTAACTGCTTGAGTGAAGCTCATCCGTGAGTCTGTTTAGAATTCTGCAAAGCGAAAGGCAGCTCATTGGACGCCCTAATGTCTAGACGCCTAAACAGCCTCGATGGAATTAAAAGTAACTGAGAGGCTGTTGTCGCTGCTGCAGCGTTGGGGCCGGCGTTAAGCCCTTTGTACACGTCTTCGCCATCAGCTAGGATACACTTTCATATTTCAGCTTGTTGCACGTGAATTTTTGGTCATGAAATACTTATTTAAAATGCAGATCATCGCTTTTAATCGGGGCATGTGCTGCTGCTGGGCCGGACCAGTTCCGCAGGGAATGTAAACGAATGCAAGTGGTTTCTTTGCTTTCTTTGCTTTCCTTGATGGAGAGTCTTTTCACATGAATTGCACATTTCCTGTAGAGGACTCACTCATGCTGTGTCTGTTCAGCAGTTGGTTGCGCTGTCGAACTGGTGAACGCCGTAAAAGACTGACTGGGTTCGTTTCCGGTCCAAGTGAGCTGTAGCAATTGGATATTACCTGCACTTCTGATCTGCGTGAACTGTAGTAATTGGATGTTGTGTCGTGGCAGCTGCTGAACTAGTTGAAGTATCTCACGGAGGACACGAGGCTAGAAAGATGCATGGCCTTATGAAATTGTTTTGTCTAACCAGTTCAAAGCGACAATCTTATCCACGACCACATTGTGACGACCCTTCGACAAAAAAGTCCATTTGGCAAGTGCCCTGATGCTGAAATGTAACTTCTCTATAGAGCTTAACAGCATACTGGAACTACGACGGGAAGCAACGCTTCTCTAGTGTACGGCTAGCCTGAAGTCAGCTTAATCAACACAGAAGAGTGAATTCAGACTTCTATCATGCTCGACAATCCGTTTCCATCGCAAACGCAGATGAAAATGGCAGAAACGCACTAGAGACTCTGCTGAATTCTGCAATTTGCCAGCTCCGCAGCTGAACTCCCGCGACACATTACTCATGCACCCTAGAATGCGCACTTTCCTTAATCAACGGTGGATCTACATGGGCTGGCACTGTTTCAGTTTGACTCCTCAACACTAGTTTGGAAGCCATGCTCCATCTACAGAGCTTGAAAAACCTGCAATTGTGTTTGATACCGAGTTCACTGTTGCTGCGGGAGCGGCAATCAGCCCTCTCTTGCACTTATCAATAAGTTTGCAGCTGAATTTTAGCTGCATTGGCATAGGGTGCAAGGTGTGGAGCGGAAGCCAGAAAGTTTGTAAGCTCTCCATTCTTCTCGCTTTCTTTAGCAGTATCCCGTCAATGCAACTACACCTAAAGTAGGTTGCTTCCCCAATTACTTGCTAAAGGCTCTCTTCTCGGATGCGTTCTTCCATCTGGTCTGCCTATTATTGCAAGCCCATAATTTGCAGCTTTCTTCCCGTGCTGCCGAGCTACTAAAATGTGCTAGGTGGCGAGTTCTTCGGTTGCTGCATTTTACCAGAATTCAGAAACAGTGGCTTGGATTTGAGAAAAGGCCGCCTCATGCGGCCATGAACCTTGCACAATATAGATGTTTCGCTCAATCGTCGAGGTATATCAAATCTCCCAAATGAAATGCAGACGCAATTCCTTGCACTGAAGGGGTCGCCACAAAAGGGGCGGAACCGCACGACTACGCCGAGCATGGATTCATACAAAACAACTCCAGCTGGCACTCCATATGAAGTGTACATGTGAATTTCTCAGTTTTTGCATACTGCATTTGCAGTGGCTACTCCACTGACTAGATTTCCGTGCGTTCATTTGCCAAAGCATTTGCTTTTGGAACAACGAGTGGAGCGGTGCAGTTCATGAAAGCACTGCCTGCAGGCCGTAGGAATTCTTCATAGCAACGATGCATGAAATGCTTGCACAATATTAACGTTGAAGTGAAATCAATGCTAGAGAAAGTGCTGTCTGGCTCCACACCCCTACGCGTGTGTAAGACTTTGCGCTCATGTTCCGGTACCTACAAGACAACTGCCCAGAGCCGCAGCGGCTCGTCTAGCATCACTCCAGTTTGCGAAATGTGTGGAGGGTTGTGTTAATGACTGCACCTTTCTCGTGACGACGTATGTCACATACTAAATCATGCAACATCAAACAATCGCTCGCACTTTCCGGCCGTCTTCATGTGGAAAATCACCCACTCATGCTCCCTCGTAAAGCCGGATGCTCCCTCAAATGCGCGTTTAGAAGAAATGGCCCTTCACACTCACACGCTCCTAACCTGGACCTTTACGCCCCTCAGAGAAACCCTTGTCGTCACTTCTCCAGGCATCAAAATTAGCCGTTTTAAAACGCGGCGGAGATTGTTTAAAGCAAAACAGGAACCGCTTGAGCCCCAAATTTTTACTACATGGCGGACGACACCCAGACTTCAAAGTTTCCAAGGAAGTGGTAAGCATGTGGCAGAGGGCTACGTTGAAGAGGCGTGTAGCTGTCAAACTATGAAGAATGGGGGACGGAGGGTATTCATGAGGGACTGCAGCAGTAAGTCTCTTCCACCAAACGCCTTCCGGCTTTTGACCGAGCAGCTCTAATGTGGACACAATGACGTCAAACACGAGGAAACGGAGGCCGAGATGTTTGGCAGCGGCATTCGCATGAAGATCCCGAATACCAAAATTTTGATACGATACAGCGTAAGCTGCTAGATTCTCCGCAGCATTAGTTAGATACAACAATTCCTTGGAAGAAAGTGTCGGCTTGATGAGAAGATCATGAGCTGTTAAAAATTGTCGGAACGGTTTGTCCGTCACCTGAGGGGGAAAAAAGACACGATCTGGGTCAAAATATCGCACAATTGTACTACGGTCAACAGACGGCAAACGACAAAATGGATGTGTACTCGGGTCTTCTTGCACGGCCGAGGTAGATCCACCAGCAGAAGACGGAGTAACAGTTGACAGTAGGTCCTGCACGAATGTGTCTAGCAACCGCTGCTGTTCGTCAGCTTCAGCTTCTTGTGCTGCCGCACTCGTTGAAGGCTGAGCCTCATCCTCAGGCTCCACCTGTCCATCATCTCTTTCACCAGGGGCGCCCTCGGAGCCAGTCAATTCCCCCAATTGATGCAACGCAACAATGGCTTGAATTTCACGCATAGTCAGCGTCACAGGAAATCTTCTACCACTCTCTGAACAACACACTGCAGCTGCATCAGGTAATTCAATTTCAGGGGAATCTGGCGCCCACAATTTCAGCAGTCCAGCAGCCGCTTGAAGTTCATGCCCACTCCACCGCCCAGCTTCAATCTTAGAAGCAGGGGGCTTAGGCAGTATGGGACGCAGTCGGCGACGCCATCCAATTGCGCCAGTTGGTCTAATGGCCCCCTTCGATGAGGCCCGTGCCGCTTGTTGCGCGCCTGTGTCAACACTAGGTAGCTCCCTGCTATCATCAGACTCCGCCTCAATACGTGCACGCTTAGCAAGTGGCTCAAGCATGGGAGGCATCTCCGTCGTATTGTCATCAGATGAAATATCTGCATCTTCTCCCGAATCGCTGCACCATGGGCGTTTGACAACCGCACTGGAGTCTTCATCCTCCGACAGCTGCCGACCATAGGCAGGCAGTTGATTCCATTTCTTCTGCCCTCGCGTACACAAGAAGATTAGCACAACAAGTGCTGTGGCAGATGCCAAGAAGGCCGCGCCACTACGCCTGCGAGAGCTTTTATGCACGACGCCCCGACGGGGCTGCACGCCTGATGACACTGTCTTGTCCGGATATTGCTGGAGAGCTGCACTGTTTGTCTTTTCACTTTCAAAGAGGACCGTAAATACAGGCACATTGTCACCAACGCCCAAATTTAGAGCCTGCATTTTTTGACGGGCAACAGAGGCTCAGCAGTGTGCTTTGTCAGTAATATGTACCGACAGAACCGGCATAGCAAATATTTCATTGGTCTCCCAATGGTACTTAGGATGGACCTTTGTCTCGATTCAGCATCCCGCAATCTAGTCTTCCTGGTCATACGGTTGCCGAATTTGGGAGTGGATCCCTGAAATGGTGGGGATAAGGAGCGTCGGAAGCTGGCAGAAAAGGCTAAATATCAGCTTTGTTACGCATATGCGGGCTTTTGACGGATGTTGAGCGAATTTCTCGCAATTAACGAACCGATCCTGCGCACGTGCATGTTGCGGAATGCGCAGCCTACCTTACGCTCAGCATAAAGAACGTCCCAGTTTCCATATAGTCATATACAGAATAATGATAGCTTTATCTCCTTGGAGATGGGAGCTTGAATCGTACCGCACGCAACTGCAGCACTGGGGCTTTCGTGCCATTGCCCAGAACTTGTGCTGACCCTTTTGCTGTCTCCAACGTTCAGTGCCAGTCACTGCGCTCATTTCCTGCCGACACTTTTAGAGACATTTGAGCAGTATTAATACTGTAAATGATGACTGGCTGATTCGGCGCCTCTGTTTGCCCTCTCCACTTTCACTTGCGCACTTCCTGCATAAAGCTGCACAAAACGTTATGACTGCTCGATGTTCGCTGGCGTACCTCGCTGCTCCACAAACGCTTCCTAATCGAAAGCAGGTGTATGGCACTTCTTGTTTGCAGACTATTAACCTTTCTAGAAAGCCTTATACAAGCGTCAGATTTCCATAAATATCTGGGAAGCTCAGGAACCACTCTCGACACAACGAGTAGACACGAAACTTGAAATTTCTACGAAGAGCGACTGATTTTGCCCTTAAAAACTTGATTATAACGCAGCTAGCAGTGTATTCTGATGCAGCCCAACATTTTGCCGGACTCTATGTAGGTTAACAGCGCCTGTCCACGGCGTGCGCTGAGCCGATATAAAACGATGTTGCAAGGAGCCTACGTTCAAATTTGTGGCCAGTTATTAACTATACAGAGGTATGCCCTCCAGAATTCGGAGCTAGGGTACCAATTCACCTGAAGTCATGTCCATTTGAGCCTCTTTGCTATACTGTGTCAGTGCTTTTGCATTAGTCGAGTCTGTTCCTGTCTATATAGCGTGCCATCTGGGTCCGTAACCAACTTGTTTCTTATGCAGATGCGCAGACGTATAAGCTGTAAAAGCCATAGCCGCGGAGGCACTCAACGCAAGCTGCAGTGGACTGAAATGGTAAGCACTTGGTATCTTGTGATTCTATGGCTTCCTTCATCGCTGGTCACTTCAATTCTTGTCTTGTGGATTTGTTCGTGCAAGAGAGCCGGGAGGCCGCGCGCTAGCGGTAACCGTAACGGAGCTACGACGGAGTGTCAAGCTGCAAAGTCCCCAGCTGGCCGATATCGTTGGAAGTAGAAAGAAACGGGCAAAAATGTGTATATT